GTTTACCGGACAACAACTAAAGAACTACAAAACTAATTATTTTATATCAGTGCGAACATATATAGGATAGTTCATCGAGCGTATATGCCCGACAAAAGCATTGATGAAGAGCCATAGAAGAGCCTTCGTATTCAATTCTTTCCACTTCCCTCTACAAATTTCTCATACATATTCTTGAGTCAATGGTTCAAAGTTATAGCAGTATTTCCATGATAATAATCTGTTTCGTTAACAAAATTCATGAGAAACAAAATTCTTGACCTTTCAAGGAGTAGGGAAAATGGCAAGATGAAAACGACACCTAGAATGCTTCTATAACAAAGCAATGAGGATTTTAGTTTACCATGCACTCAAACCTGTTTGAAAGAATATGTACTTTGTTTTTCCTCTGATGTAATCAAACCAAAGTCCTATAGGATTGAGATGATCATGCCATTCCAATACTTATTCCCATGTTCTTAGAATCCTGCGAATCAAATAGGCCCTGATTCTGGTAGATAGAATAAAGGTTGAATACACCACAAAATAATCTATAACCATTCTTTTCCTTACAAGTTCTTCTATATCTACAATCAGAACCTATCTTGCTTGGTTTGCTCGATTTTTGCTTCGTAAACTAATATTAGCTTATACATATGGTGGAATTATCGATTAGATTTGACAAAGTAATGAAAGTTCAAGCAATAGTAAGGGATTTGTAAAATTGAACACATTCTGGAAAACACTTACGAGTAGACAATTGCTAATAGTTGAATGTTCCATCCTACTTGCCAAGCAAGTTTGTCCCTTCACAAAAATATTCCTATGACACATATTTGCAAATCACCAAGAATATAGGTCAACACTGATGACCAATGTTTCCATGGGTACACCTTTAAGTACCCTTCATTGTTGTCAGTCAAGAACAAGGATAAAAAAAATTCAAATAATGTTATGCCTAGTAGGGGAAATCATAGATACAAGCCATAGTATGAAAACACGGCGCATGGACGAAGTTACTAGTAATTGTAACT